AAACAACCCAATAGCTGGGTTTGTCCCTTTTTTAGAGTGTGTGTTGTTTTTAAATGTGATGTATAAATAAAAGTGATTGATTGAATGTGATATAGTTTGATACATCTCAAATGATTATTAAACAGCAAGCACAAACTATGTAAAAGCTGCAGCCCTTCCGGCACGCTCAGTGTCTGAATTTGCTCACTTGTTTTCATTCACTGCGTTAAGTGGACTGCATATTAGTGGACTAATGTGAAGAATAGTTGTTATGAAGGTCTGTGATAACTAATAATGAACAGTGACTGTCGTTGGTGGGCTTTCTAACTGACAGCTCAAACTACGAATCAGTACAGCTTTAGCGTCCCCTGTAAGTAGTTCCGCAAGAAAGAAGAAGTGCTTTGCATCGGGACGTTTAGTGTGGAGTGTTTTCCACAAAGTTGATTTCCAGTTGTTCGTGCAGCTAAAAAAACACACATACTTGCATCTGTCTACAGTGGAGAATAACTGTTGAAGAAGAGTCCTTGCATTCTAACCCATGATTGCATGATTGCAAACTTTTACAAACCAGCCCCAAATTAAGTACACCAGAACAATAGTGATTGAGGGTGTGGTGCGAACACTGCAACACTGCTATTGTCTTCATATATCTAACTAAAGTCTTTGGTGATGCTGCGTCTCTGTGTTGCTTGACAACCATTCTGCTAAACATTGCTGAAAAATTACATTGCTTGGTGGAAGGATTATTATTATTATTGTTATCAACTATTAGTTATTAAAATTGTGTTGCTGTGTCTATTTTATGAAACCTTACCAGCTATATGCAGTAACCATTTTATCTCTGTGAACCACGACTTCACAGGGCTTATTTCTTTAATAGACTTTTTTTAATGTTGGATGTGTATAGTTGAACATTTGGAATGGTAAAATGATACAGTCTAGTACAGTCTGACAATTAATCATAGGAAATCACTTGAAATCACATTCAACAGAAGCCGCACATGTCATATACAAGGAAAAGTGTCTGTGATCTTAGCTTCTACCCATCTGGGTAATCTCACAGAATTGATCTCAAGCTACTTTTTGAAAAAAATTAATAAAAAAAAAATGACACAATACGGAAAATTTTAAGTAAAATTAAAATGGCCCATCATAATTATGATTTTAATGGTTTTGGATTATACGCATCATCATAAAGTATCCAAATACATTAATATGGTATATTCTGCATGTTATTGTAAAGTTTAAAATGCAGTTTTATACCATATATAATATTGGGGGCCTGCTCGGTTTCTTTATCAAGGTTTGTTAAAGCTGCACTCTAAAAAATGCTGGGTTGTTTCAACCCAAGTTTGGGTCAAATATGGACAAACCCAACTGTTGGGTTAAAAAGTTAATTTAAAAATGTAACCAAAATTTAACCCAACAGTTGTGTTAGTCCGTATTTGACCCAACATTGGGTTGAAACAACCCAGCATTTTTTAGAGTGTGGTAGGACTAAAGATTGTGAATCCAGAGCTAAAGCCCGGGTGGAATCAAACTTCTAATATTGTCTTTTTAAAATACACAGTCTTAACTCAGAGAATCTAGACTCCTGACTAAGCAAGACTTAAATTATTAAGATGCTGAAACGTCAAGTCATACTTTGCTGTTCTGCATAATTATGTGATAAAAAAAGATAAACAAAAAAAGGACAAGTGCTGCTGAACTTGTTCATCTTATTCATTTATATAGGGGCAACTTCTGTCTGACAGACTTGCAGCCTTTAAAAGCATATATTCTCTCTTCTTCAGGGTAGTAAGGCATGTCTCTGGCCACTTCATCTGCCAGATCAGAGTCCTGAGTCATATTCAGATGAACCATCTCAGCCATAACACACTGACGCACATGCTTCAGCTCCAGAGGTAGGAAAGGAACATAGTGATCAATCAGATGCTTATTTATTAGACTGGAGTGTGAAAATCCACCTGCTGAACAGACATGCTCAAAAAATTAAGAAATGATATTTCTAGAGGAACATATGTAATCTATGCAATACAAGAATGTAACCAAGTATTCAGGAATGGATCAACCAAATGTAATTATTTAAGAATGAACCATTAATAAAACCAGGGAGAGATATAATGTTCAACAAAAATACATTCATGATTTATTCTACACAAGGAAACTTGATTTATATACATCGCTCCATTAAAACCTCAACATGTCGTGAACACAACTCTCCAATAAAAAAGTGCGGGGGACGAATTTACTTTTTATAAAAAGTGGGGGGGACATGTCCCCCGCGTCCCCCGCGTAATCTACGCCCCTGGTCGGGATTATTATCTGTTTTGGTTTTCCTTGTATTTCCTTGGTTCCTGTTTTCCCTTGTCTAGTTAGTTGCCATAGTTTCTCATTAGTTAAGTGATTAATTATCTGCTGTTCTGATTCAGTTTCCCTGTATATAAGTTTTCTTAGTTCCATTGTCTGGTCTTGTTTTGCATTAATGTGGTAGTTTTGCTCCCTCTGATCTCCTGATTGTTCCTTGTCATTGGGTTAAAGATGATTGTGGTATTCCTTGTCGTGTACTTTATTAACACAGTCCCCCTGTGACAATTAACCGATGTAAATAACTAGAGGAATAGCAAAGTGCAGTAAATGCTAAAACTATTTGCACTACAAACTAGTGTTTTTATGATTGTGATGATAAAATAATATGATATCAAATACCTGCTTGCAAAATAAAGCAGCAAAATGGGCTGTTTTATTTTTAAGTAAAAAAAACGGAAGCCTTGCACATTCAAGTAACAAAAAATGGCTGCACCCGTTTTTATAATATACTGTATATATATACTGCACAGCAATAGTCAACCATAGCCAGCGTCTCTGTCAGATTCCTAATAAGAACAAACCCAACAGTTTAGTGCATCACCTGAGAAAAATGAAGATTGCTTTGTTGAATGACACTCCATCTACATTGTCATTGTTGTCTAGAAAAGGTTTTAGGGTGTCAATCAGCCGTGGATGCATCCTATCCATTTCATCAAATATGAACATGGAGCGGGGAAAATTTGATACATTTCCATGAATCCACTGCTTTAGCTGTGCCTGAAAAACATGCAAATGCCAGACTTGGCAACAGACTTCCATATGCTACAGGCACATTATGAAAACCTTTTTTATTCATATTATTAATCATATTAAGTATATAATTTATACAGTTTTGTAACACCTACTATAGCCATGGTAATGTGTGAAGATGTCATAGGTTCATACAATATAATCAATTAAAGGAGATCTACACTAAACTGTTTGCTTCTTAAGTGATTTTTTTATATATAAATGATTTTTATATAATGAAGTTCATGGGCAGAAGTAAATACGCTAATTGTAAAATATTTCAATAACTTTTGATTATTTTCAGATACAAAACTGAACCCTCATGTCATCTGTTCTGTAAAACATAAAAGGACAGGGACTGGCAGCCACAGTCTCCAAAGAAAGGAATGTGCAGGTGAATGGTGACCGAGACTGCCGAGAATGTGACTGTGTCACATACTGTGTCAGTCACATTCTGTGTCAGTCACATTCTGCTTAACAATTCATTTTTCCACAGAAAAGGGTAGTGGCTCATTATTATTTTCTTTTTTTAAAAGCAGAAACCTCACTAAATTGTGTTTGGATGTAAGCTCAAATTTGAAGCATAAACCATTTTATTACTCAAAATATTTTTTATAGCTCTTCCAGATTCTTATGTTGTGGTCCTGGAGCTTAGTTAATAGTTAACATTAATGGTTAACATGATGTAACTTATTTTAGCATGTAGATTTAATGAACAAGCATTAGCACAATCGTTTGTCATGGAATCAATGCCTTATTTGCCATCATGTAGCCACCAGCAATCTCAGGAGCATTCTTCAGCACAAAAACTTCAGCATAACAGAAACTTGTTAACACTAACAGGTCTTTCCCTTCACTAAAGACGCATGAACTAACACTTAATTTCAACATTTATTCTCCTTATCCAGTCCTATGCAAAGCATCCACTATCCAATTTCCAAAATTAACAAGACGATTTCATTAAGTTACTATAACATATTTTTTTAATCAAATCAATTAGTGCAGAAATTTGAGTTTACATTACACACAAAATAAGGTTGATATTATTATTAACATCATAACCAGCAAAATAATATTTGGAACAGCACACGTACGTCTGCATTGCAAGATGTCTCTTAAAGATCTCTTGATCTGCTGACTACAAACTTCTCTTTCAGATGTCAGTTTTACATGCATTCTAAATCATAAACATCTTAAAGACATCTAATAGACGTCTATTTGACATCTAAAAGGAAACGTCCTAGGAGTATTGCAGATGAGCAAACACTCTAAAAAATACGTCTTGCAGATGTAAATGCAGACGTCAAATAGACGTCTCCGAGATGTACGTGTGCTATCGGGGGAGTTTAATTAAGTCAATAAATTTGAATTTTTAACTTGTATTCTTTTATTTAAGTTGTGGTAACAGGTCCTCTGAATGATTTTTTAGAGTGATGGACAAATCTGACAAATAGGCTAACTTAGTGAAGTAGCCTATTTACTTACGGTGTAGGTGTCTAAATTTCGTTTGTCTGGAAAATGAAGGTCAGATATAAATAAGTGAATATGCTTGCTCTGCTCCCCTTTTTTATACAAATTTCTTGCAATGATTTTAGTGACATGACTCTTCCCAGTTCCAGTAGTCCCGTGGAACGAGAAAACCAGTGGTTTGTTTGGGTTGCTGTCAGTCATAAATGACGATACCGTTTTCAGTACAACATCAGACGCGATGTGCTGCCCGAAGAGAGAGCCTTTTAAATCTGCTCTCAAACCTGAAAGATGTGAAAAGATATTAATCCAAAGATCTTTTTGTAGTTTGCAATTATAATTGATAGGCATTAACCACCAGTGTTGGGGAAAGTTACTTTTAAAAGTAATGCATTACAATATTGCGTTACTCCATAAAAAAGTAACTAATTACGTTACTTAGTTACTTTTTTTGGAAAGTAATGCGTTACGTTACTTTTGCGTTACTTTTTAAATCTGGACAGGGCTTGCTTGTTTGTTTTTAAAATAAAAAAGTTATATTTTTGGCAAATATAAAAGCGTACATTTACGTTCGTAGAATGCAGAAGAAGAAATTCAACACACTTCAGCAATAAAAGACACAAATGTTTTTCTAGAGTAATTTTTGCTTATTAGTATGGTTGAACTGGATCATCGGAGGTCAAAAGCAAAGACATTGGTTAATAGAATGGGTGTTGTTTAACATTTAATTATTGCAGGTTTGCGTCATATTCTGAGTTGCATTATTTTTATTCATTTTGAGGAATACTGAATCTGTGTTTTTTAGTGAGTGAGATGAATTAATGCATATTCATATTTATTTTAGAACTACAGTAACATCTTCTGATTTCTCTCAACATGGGGACAGGAGAGCTGTCAATCAATAAATTGGAGGAAAAAAAAGTAACTTGCGTTACTTATTTGAAAAAGTAACTCAGATATTCTCTTGTAAATTAAAAAGTAATGCGTTACTTTACTAGTTACTTGAAAAAAGTAATCTAATTACGTAACTCGCGTTACTTGTAATGCGTTACCCCCAACACTGATTGTTTCATGATGCATCAGAAATCATTTTAATATGCTCATACCATTTCAAAAAATATTTTCAATGTGAAAATGAAAACAGTTGTGTTTCTAAATATTCTTAACAGCACAACCATTGTGATGCATTTTGTTTTTCAGGACTCTTTAAATAGCAAGTTCAAAATAACAGCATAAATAGATATATTTTGTAGCATTATTAATTTTTACAGTCACTTTTGATACTATCAATCAATTCAACATGACCTTGCTGACTAAGAGGAAAAAAACCTGATAGATAGATAGATTTTTTTTTATGTTTTAATCATTCTACCTCTTAACACATGGACACATACTGAGGTTTCACAACATTGACCAAAGTTTATTTAAAGGAGACATATTATGCCCCTTTTTTACAATATGTAATATAAGTCTCTGGTGTCCCCAGAATGTGTCTGTGAAGTTTCAGCTCAAAATACTCCACAGATAATCTATTATATAATTTTGAAAATGTCTATTTTGAGTGGAAGCAGAAACACACTGTTTTTCAGGCCTGTCTCTTTAAATGCAAATGAGCTGGTGCTCCCCGCCCCCTTTTCCAGAATAGAGCTGCGCCATTACAGCTCGGACCTGCTAAAAACATCTGTTTTGGTTCTGATTATCATGTTTATCATGCTGAAATCATGCGTTTTAAACCACATTAGTTTAAACTTCTGATATACGGTTTTCTGAGTGCACATGGACAGAAAGTGGCTGTCACAGCATGTGAGTACTAAACTAAGTTCTCATTCACACACAAGTTTACGTTGAAAACACAAAAACAGTTGTGTCTGTGAAGGTAAACAGCTGGGAAATAAATCGCATGTTTATTTTAGATCTGTGTGGCAGCAGCAATATACA